ATTTTAATTTAAATTATATAACTTTAAATCTTTAATTTGTTATTAATCACATATACAGGTTCTTATGAACTATTAATTTGGTGTCTTTTCTAATTTTAATAGAGTTGTGAGAGATTATTCCATTTTATTAATAAATAATTTACTATTTTTATTTTAAAAAATCTCATTTAATTTCTTAATATATAGTATATTTTATAATAAATAAAAATGAAATGTTTTTTTTGTTAAAAAATGTTAATTTTTAATTTCATATTGGTTTTGATACAATAGTATTAGTTAGATTAGTTGTAGGTCAATTCTACAAAATAACACCATTTATAAAGTTAAAATTAAGAATCTATTAAAAAAAACTTTCATATTATATAAGTTCTTATTAATTTTATTTTATATCTATAAATACATTATATATTTATATGTTTTTACTGATTATTCAGAAAAAAGAAAAAAAACACTTAAAATAAGATGATTTATTTTTAATTTTTTCAAATTGCTCATATATAAGAAATTTACATATAAGCATTAAATACTTTAAATATAAAATATAATTAGAAATCAAAGCATATATTTTTTTAAATATGTAAATATATTCTTCATAAATTCAATAAAGATGCTTGAAGTTTTAATTGTACTTTATAAAGCATATTTATAAAATCCTTATAAGATAAAATTATACAATTAATATTGAACTTAAAATATATATATATATACATATATATATAAAATAAATTTTATTAAATTTAAAAAATAAAAGATTAGTAAAAAAAATATGAAAGTAGTAATAATATTTTTTAATATAATTTAATCTAATATAGATATATAAAATATGTCATTAAAGTTTTTGATATATAAACACCAAACCAATAAATATTAAAAATTTAATCATAAAATATTATAAATTAAAAAATTATTATTACCATCATTTTTTAATAAAATAAATAAATTTTATTACTATTATTATATATATATATATATATATATATATAATAGATCCTAAACTTTAAAAAACAAATAAGTAAGAATCCAAAATCAAGAATATAACAAGATCGAATAAATTTTTATTTTAATGTATATATTCTTAAGTTATATTTTAGAAACATATTTTTTTTTGACAAAATATTTGCCTCTAGTTGCACAAGATGGTGTAGCCTCAAAAGTTGTGAAATTAGTATTTATTTTAATTATTTTACATTAACCATGGAAGTTGTAAAGAATTTTGATAGTAAAATATCATTTTCTGAGAGTAGATGATATAATTTAATATAATGATCAACATATGGTTCTAAAATTCATGTGCTGCATTATAGTTGATGGCTTATACATTTAGAGGAATTTTAAATAGATCCAAGTTTTTACTAAATTGACCTACCTATGATGAAGAATATGATAATCATGATGAATGTGGTTGATTTTCATTGGTTTTGGATCCAGTAGAGGAGAAATGAATTTAGAAGTTATTTTCTTTTTATGTAGGTTAGAATGGATGGATCAATCTAGTAAAAGCTTGGGTCTATTTAACATTCTTGTAGATTTATATAAGAATGGAAAGTTGAAATTTATCCAGGCCATTTAATTTTCCAAAAATTATTATTTGTGCTGTGATCAATTCCAATTTGCAATATAAAACATAGATCTCATTAACACACAAATACCATTGTTTCAAGTTAATATGTGTTTTAAGTTAAGGTAGGATAATCTTATAGGATAATCTTATAGCACATATAATAGATATAATGAGCAGAATGCTATGAGACATCGTTTCAAGAATATTAAAGGGCCAGTTTTAGCTAATGCACAAATCAAATAATTCAGATGTTTTATAGAAATAAAACAATTGAAACATTGCCTTTTACAGGATGTCAGAATTTTTTTAGTAGAAAGAAAACCACCAACTTCTTCACAAAGTCATCATGTTTTGATTTGTGCCCGCACAGAACTTTGGTTGGTGTCAGCCAGACTGATTTTTAAACATGGCGTCGAATAAAGTGAGCCGAGCTAGCTGCAATATAAAAATCAAACTGGAATTTCAAACAAGAATCTGAAACGGAAGAATCCGATTTGTTTCAGCCACAGTAATGCACAACGTAACATCATTCGCAATGGTCTTCGTAAGAAACCACCGCTCATATTATGCATTGCAAGTTCTTCTGATTTGTGGTGATTTCGATGCTTATGGTTGTAGGGGGGCGATCATAACAAAATGATAATCTTTGCCTGCTTCGGAAGGATTCGGTTCGTACCAGTGTCGTGGGATACTATTTCGAGTGACTCTGCGGGGTCGTGGAAATCGGGAGTAAAGAGAACGAGTCCGATGCGATGGAGAGCTTCTGTGGATGTGGCATGCAATAGGAAGCTGAAACAGTTTGCGGCATTTGTGACAAAAGAGGTGGTAGAGACGTGACAACGATTTCTGCACTATGGCCCAAGAAATAAAAACACTGTTCTGTGAATCTTTCATGAAGTAGGACCACGATTACAATGCAGTATTTATAATAGCTTCACTACACGATGCGCGAACTGGCAGGAAGCCAGTGGTGCACACACACGACAACCTCACCATCGCTGTTATCCACAAGCTTCGCCAGCTCTTGCTCTCTCTCTCACGAAACATCACCATCTCCCTGCATGGGCAGCTACCACAGGCCACATTTTAATGGAAAAGCGGGTTGCTGCACGGTGCTCCGGGGGAAGCTTTTCAGATGTGCGGAGGGGATGACAACGAGAGCTATAGATTCGGGCCAGAGGCGACGGTCACAATCCCTTCACATCGCTCTCGTAACTCCGAACCCAGGTGCTGATCACAACCATTCCACGGCTGCTACGGTCGTGGACTGCTGCAGTAGTTGCTATTTCAAACAGACAACGTCAAATGCACTCACTCACTCACTCACTGCTGCTGCGACTGCAGCGGTAGCGGAAATGGTTCCCGAGGCCACCCCAAAAACCTGGACAACAACCCGACCATCCCTGATACCAAAACCGAGGGTCGATTGATTGCTGCCCAGCTTGTGACTTCCTAAGATTCCTGTCCCCCAACTGCGCTCTCAAACCCCGGGAATTGATGTGTTGACAACCCAGCAGTCGCGAAAACCTGCGGATATCGCCACGTGAAGCGTAGTCACTAGAAAGCAGTCAAATTTAGACAGTAGGGCATTGTCTCCGATCCGTGGTGGGATGTGAACCCACTTGAAGAAATGTTACTTTTAGCAGGTTCGGCATCAATAAATCCCACTGATGGGCTCTCACATTTTGACTGCGCGGCGCTGCTCCGTAGCTACCACGGAACCCAACCCCGCGACGGACCCGGTCGCCGCCGCTGACCGCCTCCTCCTTCTTCCCCTTCCTAGCGCATTTTGTTACAGGTTAGTATATGAACATGTACTTTAGCATTCAATTTTTCATGCATTATTTAGGCTTATTAAAATGAAATTGAAATATATATATATATATATATATTATATTTTAGAACTATTTATTTTAATCAATATGATGTGATGTATATTTAATTTGGATCAACATCACTATACATCCATATGGGCATAAATAAATTGTACAAATTATAAAACATACTTTCTCTTATACTTATTAAAAAAATAATTTCAATAATATTTATTAAGCTATGAAGTTCCTATACATCTAAAAATAATTTTAGATGTATATATTTTTAGTTTTTTAGTATTAGATAAATTTTTATTAATTATATGTTAATTTATAATATTTTAATTAAAAATAGATATTGAGAATTAATATATATTACTTGTGGACACTTATTTGCTATGTCTGAAATACTTTGTTTGATTCATTTTAAGTTATTTAGACATAGCATTTTTGAACAAAAGTTTTTGGTGTTCCAAATTTATTATTCAAACAAAATTTTGATAAAATTATGAAAATAAAAAATCGTCATATTGAAGATGAATTTTATTCAAAATTATTAGTGATTTTTGAACAAAAATAAAAAAATATTTGAAAAAACATATTCAAGGTGTAACAAATAATTATTCGAATATTAAATTCATATCTTAGATAAATAACACGATGTCCAGAATAGAAATGTTACAAATTCAAATTTTAATATATGATTGTAAATATTAAAATATTAGCATTAATCACACACCTAAATAATATCTGATAAGATAAAATCACCCTCAAACCTTTCAAAACAATAAGATGAGACTCATCAATCAACCATGTAGTACAAAATGCCTAAAACAAATTGATCAAAAACTAATAGCATTTTTGTATCCATTCAAAACAACACACCTACTGCAACATCAAACTTCAAGAACAATCACACAAGTATTCAATACAAGTGATGAAATCAATCCTCACAACAACAACAACAAAAAAAAATTAAAAAAAAAAAAAAAATCACTTATTATTATTATTATTATTATTTTATATTTAAAAAAGCCTTCTTGTTAACCTATAATAACTTAAACCTCACAACAAATGTAGGCTTCCACACAAAGCTAAAAATATCAACAAGACTTGTCTTAAAAGGCTTGGCACCTTTGCACAAATCAATTAACTAGGCAGGAACATTTTTGCACCGCTTCCTGGTTCTATTATTACCACTTACAAAAGACAATATATATATATATATATATATATATATATATATGTATCCACATACACATTTATTGTGTAAAACAAATGAACAAATAAACAAGACCCAGAAGGGCCAATCATGCGCACTTGCCATAATTCAGTAAAGAGGACAGAGACATAATTTTCAAATCCAAAGCCAATGAATGCAATATTATGTAGGGCAATATAAGGGAGAGGAGCAAGCCTTGCATGCAGAGCAGCTGGGGCAGTCTCATTATTTCACCACTGGGTACACGAAAAAGCAAAGAAAAAAAAGCAGCCAAATAAGCAACAAAAAAGGCTACGAAAAAAGAAACAAAAAAACCAAGAATTCCACACTCACTCTCACTCACACACATCCACACACACATGCACACTCACTCTCACTCACTCACTCACTCTCACCTGACATCCTGAAGCAGGAAAAATTTGCGACGTCGTGGGCGCCGAGTTCTGCGCTGAATGAGTTGTGCGCTTCCACAGTGTTGCGGATTCACTGCATCAGGATGGATGATGCCGCTTCGTCCAGTTGACTTGGCCGTGATGCCCAGCTGACTGATTGCTGTTGCGAGGACTGGTTTGCGGATTTGAAGCGATGGTTGTTCTTCGGCTGCTTCTTCTTCCTCTTCGACTTTTTCGATGGATTAGCATTGGGTTCGGTGACACTGTGACCAGCCTGGGGAACTGACATTACCAGCCGCGGGAATCGGTGTCTAGGGGATCTTCCGGTAGGCCAAATGATGAGGCGGAGGTTCGTTTTCAGCTTTCTATCGCGAGCAACGAAATGTAAAGCGGTTCGCCCTTTTCATATCTCGAAATTTTGTGTTTGGCTCATCTGGAGGACAGGTGGGGTGGTGGGAATTGCCTCGAAACCGTTGTGCCGGAGCAGCCGAAGCGTATCTTTAGTATTCGTTTAAAATATTGGTCATCAGTCTCCTTTGATGGGCCCTACTCCCTTTCTTTGGCTTCTTTACTTGTCTATTTTATCCAGTTATCTGGTTATTTTTTGTTTAACTGGCTTTCAGTTGTAGGGTAAAGTGGGTGTTCAGGTCCAATCGTCTATGCTACATGTTCACAAGGCACGCAGGGAGTTGGACGAGAAGGGGACCCGAAGCAGGCCAAGGATCATAATCTCAGGTCACAGGGTTTTCTTATGAGGAGTAATTGCAGGGCACAGAGGGCTGATGGTGGATCTGAGCGCGCATCAGAGTCTGTTTAGTTGTCGCCTGTCCTTTGCGAGGGCATTGAGTTTGTGGGTTGTCCCTGCGAGGCCATTGAGCGAGTGTCTGAGAAGTAAATGATCGAGTTGCTAGTTGGGAGGCATGAGGTGTGAGTAATGGCGGTGGAGTTCTTGATCTTTAACGCGCCGCCTTCATGATTATCATCATGAGTCTGAATGCTCGGATACGATTCTACTGAACTCCCGAAATCGAGCTTGTACTGCAATCTCTCTTGAAATTTATAATTTTTTCTTGTTTTTCGGGGTGGTAGCGATCAGTTCGCTTGGAGTAGATTACTTCGAATGATCGCTGGAGAAGGTGCAGCGTCACAGAATCATTCGGAAATTCTGGAATTAGTGGAGCGGGTAGTCATGAGCGCATTGTATTACACATGAAGCGGAGCAGGAGGAGGAGGAGGAGGATTAATTAGTTTGTGTATATTTGTTTATTGTCCTTACCTTTTCCTGGTTTTAGTTTTATTTTGTTTTGTTCTTTTCGAGGGGATTCGTCATGAGATTTCAAGCCTACGAACTAGTGGGTTGAGTTGGTGGCTGCTCTTCTGTGCGCTCGATGGTGCCGTCGATCACAAGCATCCAAGGCTCCCTGGGTCTATGTCCCGGAGACTCGAATGCTCACCAGACTTCTCCCTTGAGACGTAACTACTTTGCGCTTTATGCACCTTCTTCTTCCACTACTTCTTCCAGGCGAATAGTAGCCGGCGCTACCGAGTCTCCTTTTCCCGCAACGTAGTCCTTTCGCGACCTCATGGACAGGGTTGAGTTCTACGGCGTAGCAATTGCACGTCTTGGTGCGTGCATCCTTCATAAAGATATATATTCCACAGCTGCTTTCGGTGTAAAGTTTTGACCCAACTGACCTTGGGGTGAAGTTGTAAGATCTCGTAGCAGATCGATTATTCAGCACGTATTTATCATGGGGGCCAAATCGCAGAGTAGACAGATACTTCCGAAAACCTTGAGGACTTTGACGAACAAGCAATTGAGCTGTCGGAGCGTACACTGTTCTGAGATGCCACTTATCGGAGAATCCTCAGAATACCTGAGGAAGAGTAACACACCAGATCAATCTAGTTCCCCAGCCTTAGATTCTCAGATATGGAGCAGATTGCAACCAGAATTGGTGGCGCGAATTCTAGCGCACCTTCCTCTTACGGCGCTTGTCCAAACGAGGCTCCTTAACAAGAAATGGGACCGAGAAATTTATTCTGGGGGTTTGTTGGGTCATGATGAGTATTCAACCCACCCAATTTCTCGATCATGGTTGATTTTGTTTGAGAACGGCTTCCCAGGGAGCCCTTACAAACTTCAAGCATTCGACCCTGCTCAGAACGACTGGCAAACATTCACCACTGCCCCTCATTTCGCGACTGCGCAAAAAATCGGGGGGTTGGTGTTATGTGGTGCAGCCTCGGGCCTGATGGTATTCAAAATTAGCGCCGTAAAGAGCCATTTTATACGGTTTGGTGTGTTCAACCCCATCACTAGGTCGTGGAAGAAGCTTTCACCGTTGCTAAATCGGCGGCAGGGGCCCGTTGTTAGCATGTTCACTGAGAGATCCTCAGGGAGTTCCAAATTCGGAACTGGCCACTACAAATTGGTGGTGGCCGGCGGTCTGGAATACGACCAGCAAGTGCAGACCACTGAGATTTACGACTCCCGAGCCGAATGTTGGCGCATCGCTTGTGACAAATTCAACAACCAGCAGAGTCATGTCTGCGACGAGATGCGTACCTCCACGGCGTTCTGCGAGGGGGCGGTTTACCACATGCGCTTCAATCGGATCCTGTCTTTCGATCCAAGTCGAGGTAACTTCACATTCTATCTCAGAATTCATGAGATTCTTGAAGTTAGCATTCAGGTTTAGAGTTCTGATCCCTGTGATCTGAGCTACTGCAAGGTGATCTTCTTTGGAAGGCTATTTACGTCAAAACCATGGTGCTTAAGATGTTTAGCATACCTTATGTTTTATCATTTCATGGATTCACCGATTCTGAATGTGACAAACTACAATGGCCGCAGAGCTTCATACGTTCGTGATGTATGACACCAAGAACTCACGGTGGCGGCCATTGCGCGTACCCTTACCACCAGACCTCGTCTTCACCGAATACCCATCCATCAAACGCGTATGGAAGGGGAGGTCACATCTTGCCGACGTACTTCCACCTTCTTTGGTTGAATCCAACGGGCGTCTTCTCCTGGTGGGTTTTCGGGAAGATCGAGCATTATCGACGATTGCAGGAATTGGCGTCTGGGAACTCTCTCAGAGGAAGGCCTGGAAGCTGGTTACTATGATGCCGGAAACGCTGTTCAACCAAATGTCCCCCACGGTCTGCACTTCAGCGTACATAGATCCGTCGTGGTATCTGAAGTACGAGCTGCAGAGCGCCGGACATGGCGACATGGTGTACATTTTTCAACCAAATGGAGGCCAGGGATTTGTTGCTCTCTGCGACTTCTCCCAGTCTCCCCCGGCGTGGCGACTCGTTCGGAACGGCTTCGTACCCAAATCTGAGTGCTCACAGAATTTGCACGGGTGTGTCATTGATCTCAGATTAGACACCCTGATTTAATTCCAGGGAGGTGAGCACTTTTGTACAGAAGATTAGAGATGACATGAGATGTCATGTCTCAGTGAGAGTTGCTGTGGTGACACCCACATCTGAGTAAAGGGCGCTTCAAATGGAGCACCGCTGTAAGTGTAAGATTTCTGATAGTTGACTAGCCAATTTTGAGCAAGCAATATGATCGCATCCTTGTACATGTATGGTAGAGAGTGAACTATCTCGTAGCAGATTGGCAACTGATTTTGAACGGTCACCTTTTGACTATTGTATACCATTTTAAGAAGCCATTGAACCTTCCACAATCTTGTAATAACAGGCGTTGATTAATAAAACTCTGTGGTGTCTGCTCCCCTACCGTGACTAATTTTAGGTTCCTAATTGTGTATCGTTCTGAAGCAACTGTTTCTTGAATTACAGATACCAACCCAAGGTAGGGATGACTGGATATGAGCTCTAGTCTGAAATTTTAAGAGCTGCGTCGATTTTGCACATATTCTTTAATCATGAAAGACCATTCGTGGGTGATCGCCGTCGACTTTAGCCACTTAAAAGTACAATACTAAGCCCATGATCACGTGCAAAGTTATTCTGACAACTGGTTGTAAAACACAAGTCCAAGTTCTATAATCAATAAGTGAAAGGCGATTCTGACAAGACTTTCTCGAAGAGTATCATTAAGATCTCATAAAATTTGTTGGTATGTGGTCAAAGTCCTGACTGCAGCTACAAAAACAAGGACTAATGTCCAAGTCCGGTTTCCTTGAAGCATCGAGAGTCCACCGACGCTTGTAATGGATCCTTCAATGCCAAAACAGGACCCGACATCGATTGGTTCTTCGTGAAAGGCAGCTCTCATATCAGTTTTATCCAATAGAAGAGGTCAGAAATGAGGCCAAAATGAAGAGTATATCCTCCACTTCTGTCGTGTGAGTTGTCAGAGGCAGATCTCATTCTCTTGCGAAGGGTGTTCTGGAAGGGCATGAAGAACGCTATGATTTAGTTATCTACAATCAAAGACGAGGCTTCGAGCACGTACGTGACCCATGGGCAGTGATTTGTACTTTGGAGGAATTCATTGTGTCCTGGTTCTATTAAAGAATGAAACATGAATTAAGTCATGCACTGTCACGGATGGGCAATAACGACGAAAAGACATATTTTTTAAGACTTGACTCAGACCTTTTTCAGCAACAAGTTCCTGTAGCAGCATCATATGCAAGGATGGTGCTTGTCGACAGGAACTGTGGATAGATAGCACGTGGTGCTTCACAACTGATGTATCAACGCATCGAAGTACATTCTCCGACCATGGCACCAACCATTAGACACTGGAACGTTTAGTCGCATTTCTTAATTAGCTTGTAGATTGTCTGGTCTTTTTGTGCTTGGATTTCGTCCCAGCCAAAGAAAGTTGTGGCCACAGATACCATTTCACTATGTGTCATTCCTGCTTTGCAGGCTGCATATTTTCAGAGATAGTATTGATCACAACGCACCAGCTTGCTCTTTATGGCTTCACTAACCGGTGGCCAGGTGCGGAACATTGAAAATGGACATACCATCAGAATGTTTTCGGGATGTGTGCTGTGACAGACTTAGCTGTGAGATCGAAGTCTTCATCGAACTGTTCCAAGCGCCAAGCAAAGGTCATATCCGCTACTCAAGCATTGTTCGTACCAAGTGTACAAAAAATAAGAAGCGGATACTTGGACATTGGATGACGTGAGATTTGTGGGCCCATGTGGCATTGAATAAAATAAGTTTGATTCTTAGACAATAACCCGTTTACAAAGAATAAATTTTCCCTTGAGGGTAAAGTGGCCATTTAAAAGGGTTCGTCCTGATTCAATCTCTCCGATTGGCTAGTGTATCATCTTCATAATCTACCAAGTCCCCGCGGTGCCTCCTTTCAACCCTTTATTACACCACCTTCGAGATTGTTTGCTCACCCGTATGTGAAAATATTGTACAAATGTCTAAGATAAAATTCTCGCATCATACTGTGTCGAGGTCCCTGAGATCATCGCTGTTGGAAATTGAAATACTTGATTCCAATCGCAAAAACAGCAGCGAAAACCACGGTGAACACCACTGGCATGGCAACAGCAGGCCCAATCATATCCGAAGTCATCCCGAAAGTCTTCTCCACGTAATCTTTCACCATGATCGGTGGCGAACCGTCCGAAGGAATTACAAGACTCGTCACGTCTCCGAACTGTGTGGTGATGAGTCCATAGAGTGTCCACGCCACAGGGCAGGCCCAGTAGTACCACACCCACCACACAGGGATGTTCTTCACAGCACAGACAGGTATGGAAAAAAGTTCAAAATGTGCAGATGCAACAAAGCCTGCACTGTACACCAAATCACCAATAGCGGCAAAAAGTGCATAATGGAGAAACAATAAATGGATTTGGGGACAAAGTGGAGATAAACTTACAGGTCTGAACACCATGAAACCTGAGAAGAGGTTGAAGATGGAGTAAAACCCGGAGGAGACAATCGCGGCGATTTGATGATTCGGTGTGAGAGCCACTGCCATCATGCCATAGTATGTGAAGTAGAGAAGAGTGAAGTACATGATGAAGGTGTAGAAGAAAAATTTCTTGACTGTCCAAGCGAGACTCATCATCGAGTAGGTGAGCAAGGAGAACACAATGCTTTGGATCAAGCAGTAAGGGATCTCTATCAACATCTGCCACCACAAGCAAGAATCCTGATTAGTTTCTGATAAGAGTACGAGCAACACACGACGATTATGCAATCAAGAGTTGAACAGGATAGAGATCGATTTTCACCTGGCCGATTGCATAAGGGACGGCTGAGTACATTCCTGCTGCACGCTCCCGGTAGAAGATCGTCCGCTCAACAGCAACTACTGGTTGGACGTTGGACGCATTGTTCACGCCAAGGAATAGGGTAGCAGCGAACAGCCCTCCCAAGACACTGAACAGATTCACCTGATCGGATCTGCACACCCGTAAGATTGGTAAGTCCTTCTGAGAACTGTTTGCGGTGGTAGAGAGCAACATTCGAGGACGGTAGTTTCCGAGCACGTAATGCAATACCGTTTCTGCATGACAAAGATCCTTTTCAAGCTGCATGTTATGAAGTTGCTGAGGATGATTTGCATGCCAACTTACGTATTCTTGCCTACTCCCCAAAACATAGAGCCGATGATGAATGCCGTCATGAAAGTGAAGAAGTACCGCACACAATTGTAATCGGGACTGCGCCAGTAAGTCAGCTTGGTCTTCCACAGACAGGCAACAACTTGTGTCCAGAATGATTGAGAGTATTGCGTTGGAAAGCTCAAGTCTTTTGCTCCCTGTGCCGGGATACTGAGAGTCTTCACTAGCTCCTTGTTGTGCCTGCCACACGTGTTCCAAAACGGAGTAATGAGTTTAATAGAAAATAGAGAGAGACCTATGCACAAATAACCCATTTGATCACATAATAGCTGCATGGTGAACACAAGAATCAAACCTAAATAGTGAGGACTGCTTGTAAATTTCCGCAAAGTCTATTTTGAGCTGCAATTCCACTGCTGAACTAGTTGCTTCCAACATCCATGTCGCCGGATTGAAGCCTTCCTTTATCTTAGGTACTCCAGGGATATCCTGCACATCGGTACGTAAGACTTTCAGACTGCAAGAATCGTAGTTTCATCATCCATTACTGAACCAGAAAAAATTGTGAACAACAAAGGGATAGAAATTGCCATACGTCAAAATACTTGATAAGTGTTTCCGAATTACGTCCAAGCGGTCCCATGTAGACGACTTGTCCTCCCCGCTTCATTAGCAACATCTGCCGCAAACGATTAGAATTTTCTATAAATCTTGTGCATTAGAGATGTCGGGTGTCAAATGAAGATGCGATTGGTTTTAAACTGGCGCTTACCTCGTCAAAAGACTCAAAGATGTCAATGCTTGGCTGATGGATGGTGCACACAACTGTGCGTCCTGTGTCGACCGTGTTTCTCACAGTTCTCATGACAATTGCAGCTGCTCGAGCATCGAGTCCACTGGTAGGCTCATCCATGAAGACGATAGAAGGATTGGCGACGAGCTCCACTGCTATAGTCAACCTCTTTCTCTGTTCCGTAGAGAGACCAGTCACGCCAGGCAAGCCGACCAGCGCGTGTTCCAATGACTTTAACTCCACCAATTCCATCACTTCCTCCACGAATTGCGCCCGAATTTTTTTATCGGTTTCCGGAGGCAACCGAAGCCAAGCAGAGAAGACGAGTGACTCCCTAACAGTCACTTGCGGCGAGTGAAAATCATTCTGCTCACAGTACCCAGATATTCTCGCAAATGTTTCTTGCACCTTTGGAAAACCAGATATGCGGATCTCCCCCTCAATGTGGCCGTCGGTTTTCCTCCCTGCTAACACATCCATGAGCGTCGTCTTCCCAGCGCCACTCACTCCAACCAATGCTGTGAGCACGCCAGGACGAAACGCTCCTGTCACTCCACATAGGAGCTGCAATCTTTCTTCCGTCACCCCTTGGGCTCTCATCTCCGCTGGCATGTCCACGAAGTATTTTATATCGCTGAAAGACATTGCTAGCGGCTTGAATGGCAGAATCATCCCCCGTTTCTGTCGCGTCACTAGAATGGACGAAGGTTCCGCGGCGCCATTGCTTCCGTCGATTATTTTCAAAACGTGCTCCTGAAGGTGCTCCTCTACATCTTGGGTGTTGCTTCCATAGATGTTGATTGTGTCCTTTGACCTTGCGCGGAATCTTTTTGACCTGTGTCTCTTTGACACCACGACATCCTCTCCTGTTCGATTGGCATTCTTCTGAGCTAGCGCTTCTTCTGAAATGACTGCTTGCGGCTTCCCTAAAGCTGTGCGGAGCAACAGTTCAAAAATAATTAGACAAGTCTGTAGAGACATGTACCCACGACAAACAATTCACGTGGATATGATTCCCTCAGGTAAGTATCCCATAGTGCTACTTGCACACCTAACCAGATCACCCCTAAATCTTCAAAAACATTGCACAGGACGATACTGAGGAATTCGGGGGAAGTTACTCACGATCTAAATATGTGAGAGTGAGAGTGTACAAAGTGTTGAAGGCAAGCGTGTAAGCAGCAAGCGTCCCCACTCCAAGCCAATACCAGTAAGCATCTTGGTGAATTCCAAAGTTATGCATCACTTTGTGTCCTAGCGTTATGGTGCTGTTCAGTGTTTCCTGATTATATTCAAAGATAGGTATCAGTTTATGCTCTCACTATTTACTTATTTCTGTCAACACCGACAGCGAGAGATACAGATAGGAAAGAAACTACTCACTGTAGCCCATCGAGGTGCGAGGAACTCGTTCACAGAGATGGCGGTCTCTGCATACGTAATGGGTGACGACCAGTAGCCCCAGACCCACCACGGCTTGATCTTCTCTTTCGGGATAATGAACCCTCCAAGGAGCACGAAGACGATCAACACACAGGTGCCGCCTGTGTTTGCAATCACCATGGTTCGACAAATGCCGGCAATTAATCGAAACAGCGCACCCGACATGAGGTGTACCAATGTGAGCAACAGAAAGAAGCTGAAGAACCTGCAATATCAAAAAAGCAATCAGAAATGTCATGTCTTGAGATACCTCAAATGATTAATAACATCTTTCTATGCAGATTTTGATTCTGCGCTCATTTATACCTGCTTGCTTCCGGAGCGAAGCCCATGCCGTAGTAAGAGATCAGAGTGTAGATTCCAGCCTCTACAATGGACGATGGGATGCTTAACACCATGCTTGGAAGAGCGAAAGCCCACGCTGGGTAAAACAGCAAGTCTCGCTGCTTGTAGAATACTGGCAGGCGAAAGATTGTCATTGAGAGCTCGGCATATCCATTGAACATCACTATGAGGATTCCAAAGAACAAGGCTCCGAGGTAAGCAGCGCCTTCAGCCTCTGTATCGTGGCCCATCGTTGTGCGGAAGAAGGTGGTCATGGCAACGAAGGCAATGATCCCAATCTGGCAAGCTTTGAAGATATGATAAAATGACTGCCGCTTCATGAGCAGAAATTCTTTGGCGAAATTTGCTTTGAAAAGCTCCATGTTGCTAACACCATAACGATCGAAGGTTAGGGCTGCCTTGTGTGAGCGTTCCTTCTCATATGGCGTGGAGAGATCCTCCGTCAAGTTAATCCCCCCATGAAACGTCTTGAACATTTCGGCGAACTGCTTCACCGAAGCATACCGGTAATCCTGTGGCCTGTTGCTCCAATACTGCTCTTGATCCTTCCGCGACGTGACCTCCTGCAAAAAATCTGCAACGCCCTTCCGATCTGGACAGACGAACCCACACGACTGAAAAAACTCGAGAATATGTTCCCGTGGACCATGGTAAACGACTTGCCCTTCAGAGAGCAACACCACGTCGTCGAATAGCTCGAAAGTCTCGGGCGCAGGCTGCAGCAGCGACATCATAATAGTGGCATCCATTACATGGCAGAACTGTGAGAGACATTTGACGATCTGGTATGTCGTGGAGCTGTCCAAGCCTGTGGAGATCTCGTCCATAAAGAGTGCTTTCGTCGGCCCAACAATCATTTCTCCTGCAAAAAAAATTATCTTCTTGAGCAAGCACGCCACAATAATCTCAAGGTAAGCGCAATTATCTGTAAGAAAACGCCGCCTACTGGGGCACATACCAGTGGTGACGCGTTTCTTCTGGCCTCCGGAGATGCCTCGGTGCATGCTGTCCCCGACGAGCACGTTCGAGCACACATCCAATCCCAGAATCTGAAATGCAAAATATTCAGCGTAGTCAATCAGCAGCAGCTTTATTAGAACAATTGCACATAAGATCCCAAGTGATACCTGTGTAGATATGAAGAATAAGAATAGTTTGGTGTGCGTGTGTGAAAGAAAACCTTCATAATGTAATCAGTGGAGAGGCTGCTTTTCATGCCTTCGACTGCTGTTGCTTTCATGTAGACGTCCACATCTTTCTCAGGGAAAATACCCGCTTGTTTCTCTCGTTTTGCAAGTTCAGCGAGCATCTCTGCACACATAGTAAACAGGTAAGCAGGTGCTTTCATATTACATGTGCAGATGAAGTAGACCATTCTAAACCTGGTTTGTAGTTGCCTCTCTTGGCTCACCGTATCGAGTGCCAATTCCTTGACACCTTGCGGAGAAATCGAGCGTCTCTCTGACGGTCATTTCAGCTACATGGAGATCTTGCTGACTGATATACACTGAAGTCTTTTGAGGCACGAACTCGTCCAATGTGTGTCCATTGTATGTCACATTCCCTTTCACCTGACCCTACGCAACAGGAGGGAACAAGACACCCACCCCACAACATCACATCCCAATCATTTGTCAGTTGACACTATACCTGAGTTATAACCACGCATGACGTGACATGCAATTTTCACATCTGCACATTACGTGGAGGATTGAATAGCATGTAGACAGTAAACAAAGGAAAGTCCAATTTCGAGTTTGGAAACAGTTACTTGTAGACTTTTGTCTACTTTCCCGGACAATGTAAGAAGCAGTGTGGTCTTTCCAGAGCTTGGTGGTCCCAGCAGCAATGTCATTCTGTAAAGCAAGCCCCAAAGTCGTAGTTAGGGTCTATTTCTGTCGCAATCTGTGTTAACACTTGTGGCTAATACTCAAGGTGAAGTCGGAGGAAACACATACCTCCCTGGTTTGACAATCCCACTAACATTGTGAAGAATATTCAATTCCGTCTTCTTTGCTGGCGATAAACCCACATAGTCCAGAATACTCTACATCGGCACAAGATGTTTCAGTACTCTTAGTCAAAGAAACGAGGATTTTCTACGAAGAAATTCACTGATCTTCATTGTCAAAGGAAATAAATTTCTAAATTAACTCTAAAATTTGGTCAAGAGTTTCTTGACTGCGAGAATAACGAATGTGCACATAACTTGATTTTTTGGATGTATAATAGGTCGACTACCTGTGCAGGTATGATACTTCTCTAGGCAAGTAAGGCAGAAGTTCAAATTTGAGGGCAAATGGTTGAGATATATAGGGACCTCAAGGATGTTGATCGTGACATTCTTAAGTGTCGGTAGCGCTCTAGATCCCACGAAGCATTTGGCATCAACCATCAGGTTCTCGTATCTGACCTCAATTGTGGGAAGCTGAATTCCCACTCTGAACAAAAGAGTTACACAGAGTACAAACATTTAAAAAATTCGCAAAACTTTTCGATGCGACTCTGGTTGGAATTAATGGTCGTCTCAGCATTGCCAAGGGCATTAATAGCTGAGACTGAGCTTGTAAATTAGCTGCTAAAGATCAGACGACAGTCACGTCCGAGCTACGAAAACTGGAAAAGAACATTTGGATGCTGCAATGCTTCAAGTGATCTATTCTGGAGGTTTCTATACCTGTCTATGCGATTGCGGAGCTTCACCAAGAACCTCTCGTTGTCTTCATCCGCGACCCGCAACAAGTTGTCAATGATCTCCCGCCGCTGCTCATACCCGATTTTGGTGACATCGACTTCCTCGTGCACAACTCGGCTTCCAAGGCTCTTTTGAAGGATGGTCGTCCGAAGACGATCATAAGTAGGCAGCTTCTCCAAAGCCGCCCACTTGAGCGCTTCCTCGTCGTCCTCCGTCTCATGGCGCGTGGACGGCGTTGCCTTCCGAGAGAAGAACATGTCGGAGCCCACACTAAATGACCTGGATCTGGACCTACTGCTGGCTCGCCCGCAGGCCGAGGTCTTTCGACTCCCCCATATATCAATGCCTTCCATTGAAGTGTTAGATGTGGCCATGGTGAGTAGCACCTATACTCGGGTACTGCAATCCTTGCAGCAACTTGATCATATCATTGAAAACCACAAATGTTCTGTCTTCAGAACTGACGTTCGAACCCGATCACCACCAGCTTGATCAAAAACAGCTCAAAAATACAATGCAACTTCACTTTGCAAAGCATCCCCTCATCTACATTGTCAGCTCAACCTTTGCCAGTTCTGATTTAATCATTCCTCGGCATAAATGGTGCCAGCTGCGTGCAGTACCAGGTCCTGAGAGCGAAACTAACCAGTGCAGCTCATTCTAGGATGGCCATAGCCACTGCATGTGACATTTTTGTGTTACAGTCTCGTCATTCTACTACTACAGCTCGGAATCGACTCACATTGATTCAGAAATCCGTCATCACAATAAACCCAGAAGTTTATAACAGCAGCGGGCGATGCCAATATCAGTGCCAAGTTTTGAATGAACACACAAACTATTACTGTACAAATCAGGCTCCGACAAGAGATGCAAGGATGGCGATGTTCGCCACTCAGTTCCAACACTAAAACTGCAAGCTCACGCCCCAGCGTCGTCCAGTTTCAAAATCCAGGAAATTCTTCAACCGCACAGTAACAAGTTCATGATCGGCTGTTTCCACTCAACCGACGTTGCAAAACCTCATTACAAGCGCAGCCTCCAGCTGCATTGTCTCTCGCTTCCTTCTGTCACCACATCGCATCTGCACATAAACCCACTAGCCTAAAGCCATGAAACCATCAGACAGCCCACTTCACAACTGGGGCCAAAAACCAGCATCAACAAACTCAAAACCTCCATCGGCTAGTTGTAGCAGCAGTCGTGAACAATACAGACTCCCCCAAACATGTAATGTATTGACGAAGTACTCTCACACACACAATCAAACACACACAACCTGCGGCCTAGTCACAACACTGACGACGTCTCAGCTAAGAAAATAAACTCCCAACAGCCAGCTTAATCCTGATTGATTCACTGGGGCCTGTTGGCAACTGCAGGAAACCATTGAGAGTGGAGGAGGCCTCAGAGACGTGCTGTAGCTAAGACACACACACTGTGAATCCAAACCCCACCTGGGATTTTACATGATGAGGAGACCCAGAGCAGAGCTGTTATCTGCTACCACTGCTGCTTGTCTCTGAGGGCTCTGTTGCTTGGTGCCTTTGGCGATGGCGATGGTGTCAGTCTTCGGCCCCAGCTCCCAACCCCCACCTCGCTGCCCGTCCATGGCGACGGTCCGTTCGGACGGGCAGCACACGCGCAAATTTGTGGGATCCTCTCCTCATTTTTATGAGACATTGTGAAACAAAAATCACAAAGTCTCGGAGTTGGGGACTTACTCATACTAAAAAAAAGAGTATGTTGAGTTAGATAGTTTTGCATGAGGTTCTTTTGGGTTCCTGTTAATATTGAATGATGTTAATGAAGGACATGTTTATTTTTTGTTTGATAGCACTATTTCAAATCGTTGTTGGAGTTAGATGTTGTTGGAGTTAGATGTTGTTGGAGTTGTGAGACTTATTGTGAAGGGTAAATGGTGGGATGGGTGAGAAAGTATAGATCAGCAAAGAATACAATACAATGATTGAAATAAAATAAGGTAAGATCTTGACGTTAGGATTGATGTACAAGTGAATTCTTCGTGTTATTCTTGCAGATTTAATTATAAACATGCTACTTTAGAGAGGTCGTATCTTGGAAGAAAAAACACAAAATCACATATATTAATTATTTTTTCTGATGCATAATTTAGATCTTTAAGTACCTTCTATTATTATATAGAATCTTCTCAAGTGTTCTAGATCTATGTGTTGTATTTTTGTAGATATTAGAAGTTCATAAGATCATGTAGAACTTTTTGTAATTGCTTAATTTTACTTAACCATCTTAGATCTTATATTTATAGAAGATTCTTTAGATTTTTTATAGTATTGTGTAAGTCTTGGAACATCTTCTAAAAGTTTTTTTAGGACCTAATTGCAATAATGCAAAAAAAAAAAAAAAAAAAAACAATACAAGACGTAAATACATCACAATAATTTTAAAAATAAATTGAATGCAAAAAATAGTTTATTTTTGGTTTTAAATATATTATATGATAAAATAAGTTCAATCTTGTATTCTATTTTAACTTTATTTCATATTATTAACCATATTTATTCAAATAACATGTAAATAATGTTTTAAAATTTAGTTAAAAATTACAATTAAAATAATATCTATGAAACACTTTATTAAAGTTATATGAAGAATTATTATAATTTAAACTTAAAATAAAAAGTGAATTTTTGATTTAAATTTTATTTTAAATACAGTGATTAATTTTAGAATATTATAAAATATCATCCAAAAATATTTATAAATAATATATATATATATATATATATATATATTATTCATCTAATGCACAAATAAATAAATATTTATTATTTAGACCAAAAAAATTTGATAAGAAATTTTGATTTTATATGATTAAGAAAAATCTTAGCTAAAATTAGTTGTGCTCTAATATATTTATATATTTATTTTAAAACTTACATATTTTTTTATTTTTTATCTTTTTTACAAAATTAAATTAATTTTAATAAAAAATATCTTAAACTATGTAAATAAAAAAACACCTAAAAATATGGTTTTATTAATTCTACACAAAAAAATCAAATGTATTATACTTCTTTCTATCTTTCTGAAATTTTGTAGAATTTTAATAGAATTTCAAAATAAGAGATTTGTCACAAGAGCTTGTTATTAATGACCTATTACAAGTGGTGGCAGAATAGTAATTAAAGTAAATAATTTGCAAAAAAAATTTAATGTAGATAAAATTAATTATTTATAAAGATTTATTATATCTTATCTTAAATAAAATTTAGAATTTAAATAAAAATAAATAATTATTAAAATTTTAAAATATTTAAATAAATTAATTAATTAAATAAAAAATAAATAAAATATTAAATTTTTAGAGATGAGAAGAGATAATTTAGAAATTATTAGAATTTTTTTTGATTAGATGAGATTTAGTTATTAAATAAAAGAACAAACGGGAAGCAACTCCATCCTATAGTGCATAATTAATAATATATAATTTTAATATTTAATTAATTTTTATTGAATTAAATTAATAAATAGAGGTACAGAATAGAAGTCATGTCGCCAACAGAGCCACATAACTATATGTAATTGGGGTTGTGTGTAATTGGCCACATAGCCAATTAGAAAAGAAGCAAATACTCCAGTTTTAGGGCTCTATCAAAGAAAATTTTGATTTTGCTTTTAATGTATCACCTCTAGTAATCTATAACCTATGATAATTGATATTTTTTCTTACAATGGATGATATTAATTAATGGAGAAAATAATATAGATTTGTATTATATTTTATTTTAAAATTTATAATATTTTAGATAACCATAGAATATTCTAAAATATTTTAAAGGATTTAAAAAACTTCCTCACCTAACCAAGATCTTCTATATTTTTTAGAAGATTTTATAGAAGATTCTTTACTTTTCTATTAAAATTTTTAAGCTCTTAGAATCATTTTTAGAAGTATTCATAGAAACTTAGTTGATATATTATAAATAACAAGGCAAGCAAAGGTATACTTTGGTTTTAATAATACAAGTTTAAAAAAATGCTGCACTATTTTTTGTAGTTTAATTTCAAAATCACATAATTAATGTTTGAAAAGATACACATTTAAAGTTATCATTTAAAACAAATAAATATATATTTTTTAGAAATGGCAATAGAATTACTTAGTGGCATAGTAAAAAGTACAATAAAATTCTTTTCTTTAAAATTTTATTGGCTTTGTATACAAGATATAGTTTTTTTTTTTATTATTATTTTTTAAAAATTAATTCAAATATTTTAAAATTAAAATATTTATATTAAATAACTTTTCACTAGTTATGCAATTCAAACTAAAGACTTTTAAAACTTACAAGATTTAAAGAACATTAACTAATATTAATGACAAAAATTAATGTTTTATTTTTTATTTTAATTTTGTTTTTGCAATTGCAATTGCTTTGAAAGGTTGAAATCCTTTGACATTATTTCTTCATGCGAAAGTTTATCCATCAATAACTCAAAAAGTGATAGAAAAATTTTCTTTGCAAATATTAAATTTTGAAGCTTTGATATATCTTTATAAAATAATTACCATACTAATTTAGTAATTAAAAGTTTTTTATGCCAACATTTTATATTTAATTTTTAAAAAATTCATTATATATATGTATAAAGTCAAAATATAACAAGATATTTATTTTTTTAATAATAATTTAATAATAAATTTATTTCAATCTTTAAAAAAATACATCTAATTAAAAATGCATCTTAAGTTTTAAGTATCTTTTAACTTAAGCTATAATGTGCATTATGATTTAATTAATTCTAATAAATGAATAATTTTTGAATTTTTTTATTATATTAGAAATTTATACTGAATTGCATCATTTTTTATTGAATATTATTGATTTTATATTTGATTAATTATAAAACTAGATATTTTTTATACATTAATTTGTTGTACATTATATGTACACAAAAATCCATTAAATCTACATTCCTATGTAATTTTAAATAGATAATTATCGAGTTTGATTTTTCATATAATAAATTTACTTAATTTTTTTGAATTATAAAAATAAACTTCTTTATATTATCTATAATTTTATATTAAAAGAGATTATTTATTTATTTATTATTTATATATATTTATTTATTTATTTATATATATTTATTTATTTATTTATTCTCAATAAAATTGCATAAAAGTTATTAAATTTGTTTATATAATGTATTAAAATATGACATCTTATTTATCATAGCTTTAATAATTAATTGTTTTAGATTTTTATCACTATTTTTTTAAATATCTCTTCAAATTTATCCTAGACGAATCAAGGTCTTTTAGAATCTAAATTCTTAATGAGTAAAAGATGCAAACTAAATCAATCTAACAAACATTAAGTTGGTTCTTAAAATTTTATTTGGTGATTATTTTAACATTTCTTAAGATACAAAAATATGAATTTAATTTTACATGCTAAAAATATCTTTAAAAAAAATTCTTATTATATTGAAATTGTTTGCTATACCAAATTTAAGTTTATTTAATAGATAATGATTCTTTGTAAAATCATATTTTAGTAGCTAATGTACTTATTTCTTATTTCTTTGTATCAATTAGAATTTATTTAGTTTTCTCATAAATTATGTACAATGACTTTAAGGGTTTTTTATTTAGATATTGAATAATTTTTATATTATTAATTAAAAAAATATATTTAAGTGTATCTACTATTATAAATCAAAAATTAATTTTTATAGGTAGTATATTTGTTTAAAAAACTAATTTAAAATTTAATATTTATTTCCTCTAAAACTTTTTAGTAGACTCAAAAGAATAACAACTTGCTTTCTTTGAGATACTCTTAAAGTAAGTTCTAATTAGAAATTCCTAAGACAAAAATATATCTTATAAAAAAGATAAGTGCTTTCTCAACAAAAAAATCATTTTAAAATAAAACACTAATTTAAAGATAGATAACTTTAACCTTTAATGTATAATAATATCCTTGAATAAACATATTAATATATAGGATATTAATAATATATATATATATATATATATATATATATATATTATTTTGAAATATTTATAATTAAATATAAAATAATAAAATAAAATAAAATATTACCAAATTGATAAGGTTTTACAAGTAAAGAATCCTAAAATTGATACACATAAAAAGTAAAAAAGATAGAATATTTGAAATAAGAGCAAAATCAGGACTAGAAATAAAATTGATTCTTAGATTATTTCAAATTTTATATTAGCAAAATTGAGGTGTATTTTATATATTTTTTTATATTTCAAATATAGCAACTAGATTCTAAGAATATTCTAGAGGTGGTTTTAAAAGTTAATGAATATCCTAGAAGTATTAGAGTTTTTTGAAACTAATTAATTACCAAGCAAGGACTTGAATAGTTAAAAAAAACTTTTAGAAGACTATAAAAGGTTTTCAGAAATTTTTAGACAATTCTGTAA